TAAATTGTATTATCACTTTCATTACTAAGTACAATTATTTAATAGTAGCTAATATTTTTATAGTGCTTAACATATTATCTCATTTGATCCTCACAATAACCCAGTAAAGTAATTCTGGTGAAGCTAGGTGGCTCAGTGGATAGAGCACTGGGCCTGGAGTCAGGAAGACTTGAGTTTAAATCCAGACTTAAACACTTAACTAGCTATGTGACCGCCCCCACCAACAACCCCCCCCCCAGTCCCCCAAGTTACTTAGCCTCTGTCTTCTTCAGTTTCCTCATCTGTAAAATAGGAATAAATAATAGCATCTGCTTCTTAAGGTTGTGAGGATCAGTAAGATAGTAATTGTAAAGTGCTTGCTAGGCACATAGCAAGTGTTCCATAAATGTTAGCCATTATTAATTATTGTTATTAAACTTTATAAAACAGGAATTTAAGAAAAAAACTACCAAATAAAAGATATACTGTAAATTATTATACTATTTACTGATTAATATACCTTTTTTGTATATTTATATTACTCCTGTAATAACTAATTTTATTTTTTTGTCTATTATTTCAATAGTCTAGGGACCTTTTCTGTGTATTTAAAATGGATTTGTTACTGTTCTTTGTTTTTTAACATAGTTATAATCAGTATGAATACTTTTCTCTGATTTTTCTTTTATTCTGTGTCATTTCATGTCTCCTGTATTTATTTGAATTTGTCAAATTTGTTTCTTATGATACAATAATACTGTTACAGTCATATGCTATAATTTGTTTTCTAGTAGTTGGGACTATGTGGTTTATTTCCTGTACTCCCCTTTTTTGGTAAAAGTAGTGCTTCTAGAAATGGTTTTACATATACATTTTCTTTTACATATGAGTCCTTCCAGCTCCTAGCAATAACATCTTTCAGATTGGAATGCTAGCAGCAAGAATAGTACAAAAAGGTAGCAGAGACCTAGAGAAAGGAGAAAAGAGTATGATGGGATTTCGAGGTGAAGAACATAGGAGAAGAAAGAGCTAACATGGAGTTTAGTAAAATGAAACCCTGTAGGGGAAACTGGAAGACTTGAGGGAAGAGAGTATTTGAAATAGCTTATTTTTTGGTACCTATCTTGGGAACTGATGAAAATCTTACCCAAATATTTCTAATTAACCTTTGTGGCATCTGATGTGATGTCACCAAAAGATTTTGACTTTATGAAAGTTTTTCAGTTAAGGAACAGATGGGTTCAGAGTCAGTGAAGCAACCAAAAATAGAAGCTTTTGATATACAATATGTCAAGAAACTCTTACGTAACAATGAAGAGATTCTCTTTCTCCGTTATTGGCTTTTATATCCATTTTATTCTTATTTAAGCTCCACCTCTGATTTGTGGCAACCAGTAGAACATTCCCTCTGTTCTTCAGGCCTAATAATAAAACAAATTATTTTCTGTTCCATCACTTGCTCTCTGGCAGTTTTCAAGTTTTCATCTTGATTCAGAAATAGTAAAGCCATATTGACCATATCAGAAAGATCCACTAAAACTCTGGTTTTAAGTGACTTTGCGGTTTTGTGTTTTTAATAGCAACTTTGCATGAGAATAAATCCCCAACTTCTTTTGCAAAGAAGCTTTGACATCTGAATACATTTCAACGCTCCTTATTCCTACCCTTTAATCTTATACTCTCCTCAGTTTAAACCCCCTTAGTTTTAAATATAGTCTATTTCTTTGTTATCAATATTGTTTCACTACAGCATTCATTTCTATTTTTCCTGCCCCTTAAACAACTGACACCCTTTCTTTTTTCTCTTAGAAAGTCTTCTAGTTCTCACTTTTCTAACCTTACTCCAAAGCCCCTTACATCTCTGAGCAAGTTTTTTTTTACTCGTGAACCTTAATAGATTGTATTTTGAGACACTTTTGAACTACAACTCTAGCTGACTGAACCAAAGTGTTTGAGGGATTGAGTTCAGTTAAACAAGAATATATTAAGTGCATGCTCTGTGCAAGAGGTTCTGGTGATGTATAGAAAGGTAAAGATGAAAAATAGCCCCTACCTTCAAGAAATTTAATATTCTGAGAGAAAATGAACAAGGTTTTGTTAGTTGTTTTAGAGGCAGGAAAAGTGGAAATGAAGATTGTTGTATAGAAACAGTAAAGAAATAGACTATAGTCAAGGGTTTAACTGAGGTAGAATGATGTAAGAAAAGGGTGAGAATTCTACTAGGATGCCCATATTCTGTGAACTGCTTTGAATCTATGTGAGTATCCAAATGAAAGGTCTTATTTTCTCAAAGTTTAGATAATGGCTAACATCAGCAAGAGTTCATTGTAATGGAATGTTGAGAGGTATTTTGAAATTCCATTTGGTATAAATATTGTTTTATATTTTCAGTCTAAATCTAATTGTTAATTGTTAATTTTTAGAAACTTTTAAAATTATTTCTCACAAAATAAAAGTTAATGTTTCAAAGGCATTCCTAAATTGAATGCCATTTAAGTCTTTAATTTTATCTTTTTAATAGTAAAAGGATAAAAATAAGAAAAATATGTCAAATGTTTTTTCATTCAAGCTCAAAGAGCAGAAATCATTGATTTAAGATATTCAGATTAATAGCCCTTTAGTTAATTTTTTTAAACCTTTTTCAGTAGTCTGGTAGTATTCTGAAATGGACTCGGGTAGTGCAGACCTTATATGCTAAATACAAATGTTTTGTAAACCTGAAGGCATGTAAATGTGAGTTATCATTTTCCTTTTTGATACTGTCCATCTGTGGTAACTATCCAGAAGCATGGAGGCCTAAAAAAGGTTCTTGAAAGTAGGAGAGCTAATTCCATAATTGTTTTTAAATAAATAAATGAGCTTCAAGTAAATTTCTCTACTCACTTTTCTAATTACATGCTGCTTACCTTAGCTAGAACTGATATACAAATCATTAAAAAAGGGTTTGGCTAAATTGGTTCTCTAATATAATTTGATTTTAGCTAATTTCTAAGATTTCAAGAATATAATGGGCTTTTAAAAACATGTTTTTGTTTCAAGAAACTAGTTTTTGTTCAGTTTGTGAACCTTTATATGTAAATACTGATTTAATTTAATGTACACAATTGTTTGTGGTTTTGCACAAATATATTTTATTTATTGTTGCTAGGAGATAGATTGTAAGATTATGCTGCAAGTCAGAACTGCCAAAATGTACAAGAAACTAAATTTTAAATAATTTCTTAAATGTTACTTTGCATGAATGAAATAATACCTTGGAATGTCTCCTGTGACTAAAAAAAGACTTGGAATATTAGTATTCCTTAGATGATTACATATAGCTTCAGAATTCGTAAGGTGGGGAGAGAAGGAAAGGGAGAAGCAATATATTTTTTTTTTTTTTACCAACAACAATGCCTGCTAATAACTTTAACCAAAGTTTAGACTTATATTTATATTAGACTTATATTTATATATTATAAATCAGGATGATTTATAATAATTGTTAAGGTAGACAACAATAAATATAGAAATGTAATAGTTTCTTAATGATCAGTCTGCTAAATGTCAGTTTGGCCCTCAATTTGTTGAAATTTCTCAGAACTAAGCATATTCATTTGGTTTATATGACCAGGGAATATTGTTGAGCTCAATATCCCTGGTTCATTTTTAATACAAAAAATTTGCTTGACTTAGATTTTATCATAATAAAAATTTAATTTATGTATGTTTTTTGTTTTTAAACGATTAAGGTGGCGAAGCATTAAGCTCTAATAAAGTTAGAAAATCCAAAAGTGTAATATAATTATTTTAATTTTTATATAATTTGATATTTAATATAATAATTTATATTTACAATAATAACTATAATGGTTTTGTTATTTTTATAATTTATATTATATTTATAATTAATTTATGTTATAGTATGTTATGTTTATAATATAATTTATAATTATGATGGTAATTATAATTAAGTAATCTAATTTTAAATATAATATGCTTTTTAGCAATTAAAAAGTTTTTTTTTCTGATTCTGATATACCATATTCTTCGAGTTGTAGTGATTACTGATTTGGGGGGTGGGGATGGGAAGACGTCTTTTGAATTAAATAGTTCTACCATGTTTATGTTCTGAAAAGTAATAAAAAATCTTCACTTTATTTTGCCTGTATATATGTACTTGTACTTATGTGTAAATCAGAAGGGTGTGTATTCAAAACTATGTGCTCAAACCTTTAAATTACACCTTCAACCCAGGAAATACCACAAAGTTAAGAGTGATTCCATAAAATTGTAAAAGTTCATACTACGCAAAATAGCTTATACTTGCTATAAGGTAAAAATAATTAACTTAGAACATTTTCACAAATTCATAAGATTTGATAGTGTGATTTAACATTAACTTCAGCTCTGTTTACAATTTCTTCTTAATGCTTATTTTTAAGAGTGTTAATATCATCGTTCCTTAAGGAGGAGGCAGTGTTGTTCCTTGTGGATAGAGGACGGGCCTCAGAGGGTGTTTAAAGGCTGCCTCTCACACAGAGGTTTTTAACAAGGGGTCCATGGATAGATTACAGGGTGTCTGTGAATTTGAATTATATACACACAGATTCGTACGTTTATGTTTATATACATACATGTTATTTTTACTTGCCTCTAACTGAAATTTTGCATTTGTTTCAGTTATTTAAAAACATGTTTCTGAGGAGCCCATAGGTTTCCCCAGACTGCCAGAGGGGTCTGGGAGAAAAAAAGATCAACACTCTAACCTTGGCTGTGTGACTCTGTCTAAACCACTAACCTCTTTAGTGCTCCAGGCAACTCTCTAAGAAAATATAAACTGCTGAACAGTTACCACTTTGCGATTTAAGAGAGTGTGTCCTCACCTGGAACTCCTTACACCCCAGTCCAGACCCCACCTAAAAATAATTTTTAATTGTTTTTCTCCTAATTCACAAATTCTTTTTTCTTTTTTCTAAGATTTATGATCTTGAAACTTCTTTTAAGTAATCATCTTTAAAATGTTTTGTTTTTCTTTATAGGAGTACCAAAATCTAATCTCTTGCATACCAGATCATTAAGGGGCCACAAAGAGTGCTTTGAAAAATTCCATTTGATAGCCAACCAGGACTGTCCTCGATCTAAACTCTCCAAAAGTACTTATGAAGAAGTCAAAACTATATTTAGTAAAAAGATAAATTGGATTATACGGCATGCCCAGAATAAGGACGTAGAGTCGGATCCTGATTGTTCCAAAACTTCCCAGCACCCACTTTTAAATTTTAGACATAAGTCGGATAGAAAGTTATTACCACAGTTGGATTCCCAAGTACCAAAGTATTCTGCTAAATGGATAGATGGAACAACAGTGAACATCTCAAACCATGCACAAAGAATTTTGGAGCAGAGCGAATCTGCAAGCTTCGGGCTTGATATGTTGCAAGATTCAAGTGCCCCTTTCTGCTATAATAGTGTTTTGTGGTCTCATCGCCAGCAAACTCAGAAAAAAGAAGCTTCTGTTTCAGACATTGGTGACCAGAGACAACACACTTATTATACAAGAGAACAATGTAAGTAAAGCAGTGTCAGAGAGAAAGTTTTTTTATATTTTTGTTACTTGTAATGTGTCAGCTGTGTAGAGTCTTATATGGTTCATAATTAATTGATTTTATGGTTCTTCCCTCTACTATTGCTGTATTCTGATCTTTCATCATGTATCAAATACCATAGATTCATGAGTCTATGCCAAAAAACATCATTCTGGCAGGTTCAGTTAAGCTAGAAAAGGTACAGGTATTGTCCTGATGCCTGTCATCCATGCCTCAAAGAGGCTCATTGTGAGAATATTGATTACCAGGTCATTTTAAAAAAATTTTTTTCCTGCCTCAACTCAGAAAATATGTGATAAGGGATAAAAGCTGATAAATATATCAGGCCTCAGAATATTGGATAACTAATATTTTCTAGCTAGTTGCTAATTCAGACCCAAATAAGATGCTGGTTTCCATAATCTTATTTAAGAGTTAGATGTAGTCTTGATGTGCTTTGAAAGTATTTTATGGTGTCTTTTGTTTCATCTTAAGTTTCTAAATTAAATATTATCAGTCAAGGGTGACTTTCCCATTGTTACATTCAGGCCCAATTATTGACTATTGTACTCTATGCATAGTTTCACAAGAGTGTTAGCTTTGAATTGGGGTGGAATGACAAAACCCCTGATAGTAATTGTAACGAGAAGTAGCGGGGAAAAAAAAAAGATTTTTTTTTTTAACCATAGAAACAATGATATATATTCATCACTGCCCCCAAACAAGAATTGGAGAAACATGCATAGTTGAGGTTTGCATTGACTTGACAAGTTGTATTTCTGTTCATAGGTTTCTTTCATCATTTCAGCTATGGTCTCAATAACAAGATTTTTGATATTATATGAAGCCACTGAATTTTTCACTAAAGTAAGAACTTGTAGCTACATTCCACAATGCCACTTAGGGCAAACAAAAGTGTCTCAGGAAAGAGCATGCTTTTGTTAATGTGGCTGTGTTTTATTTTTCCTAGTTTTTATGGTAATAATGAATATATTTTCATGTTGTAGTGAGTTCAATGAGTCTTGGTGAAGTAGAGCAGCTGAATGAAAAGCTTCACCAACAAATCCAAGGTAAGGAATCATTTTCAACACTTAGAAAAAATTTTATAGTGTAGAAAATCTCATTTTAAAAGGAATTAAAGGATTTCTTCAGTTACATTTTAATTTGGAAATGAAAACGCTGTGTTGGAGTTCCAGAGCATGGGAATTTAAAAGAAAACATAGATACTTTATAAAGTAAGGTGTGAAAACAGAATATCTCTAGAGTTGCTACTTTACTAGAAGATGATTTACTTAATACCATGCTGTTATGTTGGTTATAGTTTAGGAGATACATTTTGTTGTATTTTTCTGAAGATCAGTGACAGGAACAGCACACAGTGGGGATGTGTGTGTGTGTGTGTGTGTATGTAATCTTTAAATTTGGAGTCATTAGAAAATACATTTGGAGGAACATAAGGTCCAGAATCTCAAGCGGAATAATGAAAAAAAAAAGTAGGAATTAAGGAGGAATGGCTCTTCCAGACTACAAATTGTATTATAAAAAAGTAATCATTAAACTATTTGGTCCTGTTGGTTAAAAAGACAAAAATGGATCAGTGAAACAGCCTAGATAAGGAAGGATGAAGACATAGGAACTAAAGCCAGTATTCAACAAACTTGAACATAAAAAATGACTGGGAGGGAAGGGCTACCTTTTTGACAAGAACTGCTGACAACATTGTAATATAGTATGTCTGAAATTGGATTTATATTGTCTACAACAATAAGCTTAAAATATATGTGCAGTCTGATTGTATTAGGACACAATAAAAAACAATTAGAAGAAAATAAGACTGGGTAATTTCCACAACTTGAACGAGAGGAAGAATTCTTAACCAAATAAGGAATAAGTATGATTACAAAAGAAAAAATAAGATGTGAATTCAATTTGACATTGAAATTGAAAAGCTTTTTCACAGACAAACTCAGTGGAGCTCTAAGATAAAAGGAGAAGGCATTAATTTACATCATGTATCTCTGATTTTAAGGTCTGAAATCCAAATTGTATAGAGTATTAGCACAAATATATCAGCTATTCCCCAATGGGTAAAGTGGTCAAAGTATATGAAGAATTGCAAATTATTGAGCTATATGAAAATTGTTTTCATTTTCCACTGAACAAAAGAAACAATTGGTGTTGGCTATTGGAAAAAAGGCAAACTAATAAACTCTTGGGGAAGCCCTGAATTGTCCAGCCATTCTGGAAAGTAATTTGAAATTATCAATCAACATGCATTTATGACCACCTAACATATACCAGATACTGTGCTAAGCATTAGACATACAAACTCAAAAATAAAACTATCCCTGCCCTTGAGGACCTTAACATTCTAATGAGGAGACAGTGTATACAAAAGGAATATAAGGTAGTTCAGTGACTCTGGAAGACATCACCCCATGAAGTCATTGGTCCTCTTGCAAAATAAAGGATGAACAGTAAGGAGAAAAAGGTGCATACCAGAGTAGGAGATAGCCAGTGAAAAAGCACAGAGATGGGAGATGAATTTTATATGTGAGGACAGAATGAAAGCTAGTTTGGCAGGATCTAAGAGTGTGGAAGGGGTAATAATACACATAGGAAAGTTTGGGGGAAGGATGGCTTTGGGGGGAAAGATTAAATTCTTTGGATATGTAGAGTTTGAGACGTCTCTGGAACATACTCTGTTCAGTAGGCAGTTGGTGTTTCAAAACTGAAGCTCTGGTATCTCTGTCTCACCTGTCCCCACGCCCGTCCATCCTATTTCCTACAGCCAAAGTGATTATTCTAAAGTCCAGATTCGATCACATCACTCCCCTCCTTAATTCCAGTGGTTCTTTATTATCTTTAGACTCAAATGTAAACTCCTCTGTTTAGCTTTTAAAGCCCTTGCATATTTTTCCACTCTCATATTATCCGTGCTCCCACTTTGCTTTCTTTCTGTTCCTTACATACAAAATCCTTTTCTCATCTTTAAGCTCTTGCACTGATGATCATCCATGCCTCAAGTATAATCTTCACCTGTTTCTCACAAAAATCCTCTTTTCATTGAAGACATAACTCAAGAGTAGCCGCCTATGTAAAGCCTTTCCTAACCTCTCCTCAATTCCCATCCCACCTTGCTGTACTACCTCCCAGAATTACCTTGTATTCCTTTTGTATATACCATGCTTAGACTTATACATCATATCTCCCTGTTATAATAATAATAGTATTTTATAACACTTTAAGATTTGTAATATTTGTTTTATCTGTGTCCTGACAACACTATCTACTGTGCGCCTAAGCTGCGGTTAGAATATAAGCTCCTTATGAGAAGGCAGAGTTTAATTAATAGGTTTAAGGTATTTTTTATTTAAGGATGGGAAGAACTTAGACATGTTTGAAGGCAATATTAGTAAGGAAAGAACCAGTACATAGGGAGAAGTTGAAGATGGAAGATGAGATGAGATGAATCACAGATGTAGCAGAGTTAGCCAAGGCAAAGGGAAGATATGCCTCATTATCAGAGACTCCAGAAAAGAAGAGAATGAGGGGGGTGATATCAAAGGATTTGGGTGAGCAGGTAGGTGGTGCATTGGATGGAGTGAGTGCCTGACCTGGAGCCAAGAAGCTTCATCTTCATGAATTCATATGTGGCCTCAGATAGTAGCTGTGTTCTCCTGGGCTAGGTACTTAACCCTGTGTGCCTCAATCTCCTCATCTGTAAAATGAGCTGGAGAAGTAAATGGCAAACCACTCTAGTATCTTTGCTGCGAAAACCTCAGATCGGGTCATGCAGAGTCAGATATGACTGAATAACATCAAGGGATTTTGAGATGAAAGGAGAGAAAGGAGCTTGTCTCTTAATTGCCTCATTTCTCAGTAAAGCAAGTAAAGGTACTCATGTAAGGAGAAAGAAGTAGAGGAGGCCTGAGGAAGGAAGATATGGTCTGCTACAGTGTCTGTGGTGGAGTGAGATGCAGAATCAATTAGGAAGCAATAAAAGTATTCCCTTGCTGCATTGAGGGCATAGTTGAAGTTGGATGTCATAAATTTATAAAATGCCCAGTCACCATGGTAGTGTGGCTTCCTCCTCCTGCTCAGCAACCTTTGAATAGGAGCAGAGAAAGGGAATAGTGGGAATAATATAGAACTAAGGTTTTGCAGTAGATTAGTGAAAGACAAGGGAGTAAGGGATTTGAGCAGGGGCCAGTGTAGAGTTGAAATAGCTCATTGTGATGATTGATCCACCAGCAGGAAGCCAGATCTCAGTGAGGACTAATAGATGGAAGGAAGATGAGAAAAAGAAGTCCAGTATGATAGCAAGTTTGTTCATCATAGATCATGTACTTTTCTTAAATGCATTTGATAGGGGCAGCTAGTGGATAGAACACAGGCCCAGGAGTCAGGAGGACCTAAGTTCGAATCTGGTCTCAGACCAGACACTTGATGTTTATTAACTGTGTGACCCTGGGCAAGTCACTTAACTCCAATTGCCTTGCCCAAAACAAAAAAAAAAAGCTAAATAGATTTGATAGCTATTATGTCGCTAGGGCGTAGTATAATTATGTATTGGGGGGGGTGGCAGTTGAAACTAAGACATCTTGTGAAGAGTACTACGTCAGTATAATAAATGTTAACCTAACTAATTTCATTGAGTATTTTGAGATTTTTTTTTAGGATAGGGATTATTTTTAATAGAAAAATTTGATAATGCATTCAATTTAAATTATTTGGAAAGTGAATCACTATGAACTGTGAATCATGAGTTTTCTAGATACTAAAAATAAAATTTGCTTGCATTCTTTCAGAAATTTTTGAGCAACTGACACACCAAGTACAAGAAAAGGATTCTTTGGCTTCAGAACTCCATGTACGACATATTGCCATCGAACAACTACTTAAGAATCATTCCAAGTTGCCATGTCTTCAAGCGGGGAGACAAGGAATGAAGTGTAACCTTTCCATAAATAACTGAACAAGACTCAGACCTAATTAATTCTGTCGATTCATTGGTCAATTGTGCAGACTTCTAATAAGTATGTTGGAAAGTTGTGGCATCCTTTTGAAAACATTTGGAATCTTTTCAACAGCATTCAATCTATTTTAAATACAGTTTTAAAATATTTTTTCTCCTCATTTACATGTAAAAACAATTTTCAACATTTGGTTTTGTTTTGTTTTGTTTTTTAGTTTAAAGTTCCAAATTCTATCCCTCCCTCCTCCCCCCCAACCTGAGACAGTAAGCAATCTGATATAGGTTTATACATGTACAATCATGTAAGACATTTCCATGTTAATCATTTTGTGCAAGAAGACTTGGACAACAAAAAAAAAAAAACAAAAGAAAGTAAAAAATAATGTGCTTCAGTCTGTATTCAGATAACATCAGTTCTTTCTCTGGAGGTGGATAGCATTTTTCATCATGAATCCTTTGGGATTGTCTTAGATCATTGTACTGCTGAGAAATAGCTAAGTCATTTCCCAGTTCTTCATCATACAGTATTGCTGGTACATTGTACAATGTCTTCCTGGTTCTGCTCACTTCTGTTTGTATCAATTCATGTAAAAGTTGCAGGTTTTTCTGAAATTATCCTGTTTGCCATTTCTTAGAGCACAATAATATTCCATTACAATCATATACCATCCATAGATCTGACAAGTAAACTATTCCATGCTTTCCTAATTTGCTGTATTACCCTTTATGTGTAAATCATGTACTCATTTTGATCTTATTTTGGTATATACAGTTTGAAACGTTGGTCTATATACATCGTTTCTGCCATACTGTCGTCCAGTTTTCCCAGCAGTTTTTGTTGAATAATGAGTATTTGTCCCAAAAGCTTGTATTTTTGGGTTTAGCAAACGCTAGATTACTGTGGTCATTTACTTCAGTGTATTGTGTTCTTAATCTATTCTACTGATCCAGCACTCTGTTTCTTAGCTAGTACCAGATTGACTTGATAATTATTGCTTTATAGTATAATTTGAGATCTGGTACAGCTAGACCACCTTCTTTTGAATTTTGTTTTTTCATTAATTCCCTTGATATTCTTGATCTTTTGTTATTCCAGATGAATTTTGTTATGGTTTTCTTTTTCTTAAGCTCTGTAAAATAATTTTTTAGTTTGATTGGTATGGCACTGAATAAGTGAATTAATTTAGTTAAAATTGTCATCTTAATTATATTGACTCAGCCTGCCCATGAGCAATTAGTACTTTTCCAGTTGTTTAGATCTGACTTTTTTTGTGTGAAAAGTGTTTTGTAATTGTGTTCATATAGTTCCTGAGTTTGTCTTGGCAGGTAGACTCCCAAGTGTTTTATATTGCCAGAATTATTTTAAATGGAATTTCTCTTTCTATTTCTTGCTGCTGGGCATTGTTGGTATTATATAGAAATGCTGTTTGTTTTGTATCCTGCAACTTTGCTAAAGTTGTTAATAATTTCAAGTAGTATTTTAGTTGATTCTCTAGTATTCTCTAAGTATAACGTATCATCTGTAAAGAATGGTAGTTTTTTTCTTCATTGCCTGTTCTAATTCCTTAACTTTCTTTTTCTCTTATGATTATAGCTAGCATTCTAGTATAATATTGAATAGTAGTGATGAAAATGGACATCCTTGCCTCCCCCCTGATTTTATTGAGAAGGCTTCTAGCTTATGCTCATTACAGATAAAGCTTGCTGACGGTTTTACATAAATACTTATCATTTAAAGATAAGCTCCATTTATTTGTATGCCCTCTAGTGTGATTAATAGGAATGGCTGTTGTATTTTGTCAAAGGTTTTTTCCTTTCAATTTATTTTAAATGCCAGATCTTGATGATTTTAAGTTAGCAGGTTATTTTGATTGATTTCTAAAACTATTATTTTAATAATTTTCCTGTGACTGCAAATGCTCTCTCCTTTGTCCTCTTCTCCATCTACCCTTTGATGTTTTACTTACTGTGTGCACCATTACAATGTGAGTATATTGTAAACATTATTGTTTATGTTGATATCTGCCATATCAGTAGAAAAATGTCAATAAAAGCCTTAGGTCAGACTAAGCTACTAAATTGAATTTCGAGAGGGGAAAAATTAATGAAATTCACCTCTTATTTATTATGAGCAATATTTTAATATGGAAATTTTATATAAAAATGCTATTTTAGATACCTTTCCAGTTATCTTTATAAATATGCATTTGAATAGCTTTATATAAATGTTTACACTTGTATATAATTATGTTCTTATAATTTCACTGGTATAGAGATCTCCTGGTGAGGAATTTCCTCTGCCAGTGAAGACTGCTCTGCAGTTTGTAGTCTGAGAAATCACAGGTCCAATCCCTTTCCATATCCCATTTAGAGCTTCTTTCAACCACATTTTCTTCTAACTCTGTGAAACATGGAAGGAAAAAGAAGTGTGCCCAGATCTTTTAAAAAGAATTCCAACTTGTTCCAGTTAGGTTGAGCTCTTCAAAGGAAAAGGGCCATGCAAATATGTGGCAGTGGTATAAGGTAGTGAGTGGACGTTACTTCCAATTCAGGTTTTTAAAATTTTGCACAAAAACTTGTCCAAATATGTAATAGGCTTGCTGAACTTGGAGTCCAGAAGACCCAAATTCAAATCCTACCTGGACCCTTACAATATGACTTTAGGCAAGTCATTAATAGAAGGATTGGAATTTAAGAATGCTTTGAAGGAGCAAAATATCAATTGACATGGTGCATTTTTTTTTTGTCTCTAAGGTATAAAACATAGTAGAATGAAAATTTTTCTTTTTCTTTTTTTTTTTTTTTTAAAGGCAATTGGGGCTAAGTGACTGGCCCAGGGTCACACAGCTAGTAAGTGTCAAGTGTTTGGTCTGAAGCCGGATTTGAACTCAGGGTCCTCCTGACTTCAGGGCCGGTGCTCTATCCACTGCGCCACCTAGCTGCCCTGAAAATTTTTATTTCAATATAGAATTATAATATCTTATAATTATTTGTCTTTAAAGCTAATTTGCAGAGGTAAGAGATTATGATAAATTATAGTAAAAATTTTAAATTTCTATTACTTGATTTGCTTTGTCCTTGTGGTGTTAACCTCTCTGAACCTCGAGCTCTAAATTATATGCACTATTAAGATTTGATGAAGTCCTACACCCAGGAAATCACAAGTCATTGTTGTGCTTGGAGTTTGTGAAATATGCCTATTTTTGTGTTCACTTGGATACGCATATGCAGTTTTTGTATATGTAAATAGGTGGGTGTATTTGGATTTTGTTATAATTTGAGGGAACTCTTGGATTGGTTATCAAAGTATTACATTAATAACTTTGGTAAAATTCAAAAGAAAAATCTGAATTTCAATTCTTACCATTATTCATCTTCACATACAGCCACATGTTCTACTCATACCAGACTGCCATGCTCTTAACATATATGCAATCTCCTTGTTGTGTGCATTCACCATTGCTGTCATATCTCATTCCTGCAATGTACTCCCTACTTATCTCATATTCCTTATTTTTCTTCAAGGCTAAAGCAGAGTGCTTTGTTTTGCACTTCCTGGAGTCCCTAGCTGATAGATTCCTCTTTCTCTCTTCTTAGATAGTCCTGGAGTACTTTTTATGTTCCCCATCACTCTCTAACTTGTTTGAATATCCCTCTCAATAGAATAGCTGTTTTTGAGGTACTGTTTATCTTTTGCCTTTGCATCCCAGGCACTTAATAAATATTGAACTGAATTAAGAGTTTAGGGGGAAAAAATACAATTATGAAAAATATTGGTTTATCTTGCAGTCTAAATAGAAAAAACTTTTTTGAATTAAAATGAGAATAGTAGATAGAGACCAGGCCTCAAAGCCAGGAAGTCCTCATTTTTAGTCTTGCCTCCCACTTAACTGTGTAACTCTGGACAAGTCACTTAACCTCTCAGTGATCTAGGCAACCCTGAGTCAAAGAAAATGTGCCAGTCTTCATTGGTAGAGTTTTCTCACCTTGGATTTCCCTATAACAATGAAATCACAGGTCAAGTCTCAATCCCTGACTAAAATTGATAATTCTTCTGGCAAGCTTTATATTTATCGAATAAAATCCCATGTTTGCAGTTTAATCATGTCTATCATTTGATTGTTGTAAAATGTACATACTACTCAGTTTTCTAATGCCATTAATGGGTGATGCAGGGCATCAAAACAGTACTATTTTCTTTATTCAGGAAGTCACATACAGTATTAGAATACAAAAAAGGGGACCTTACTACTTTTTAAATTGCACGTTGACTTTACAGGATGCAGTTTAAAAACCATACATACACGTATACACATATGCATGTGTATACACACGTTTGTAGCATATAAATTGAAGTATAAAATGACATAGCCAGAAAGTATATCTGATGCTGAAACATAACCTAGTTAAAATAGATTTTTAAGTATCCGTATTTTTAATTTTGCCTAACGTAATGAAAATTATTCAGAGTCATTTTTGTTTATTGTGAGCTGTACAGTGTTTGTCTGAGGTTATTTTACTCATTTGTTTTGGTTTTTTTCTGCTTACATGTGTTTTCCTTTGGTTCGTGTGTGTTCATAAAACTCAGGCAGCTGTTCTACTGTTTCCTTAACCTATTTTTAAGTTATTAGGAAACCCATTATTAAAGAGTTTAAAACTCAAAACAGTCTACAATTGAACTGGTATTTTTATCAAGGCTAAATAATTTATATGACAATATTAAGAGATTATTGACATCATGAAATTTTGTATTATGAAAAATACTACAAATAATACAGTGTTAGAGTTGTTTTATTCCTACTGATTAAAATATTGAATAATGTTGTCCTGAAAGATAGCTTAATCTTTTGTATAGATGTGGCCATACAAAGTAAAATGCTTTTTTTACATATGCTTAATTGAATTTGTAACTCTAACTTGGTGGGAAGACTAGTTTCTCTTTTTATTTTTGTTTTGAAAAATTAAGATATTGTCATAAAGGGACAAAAACTCAACTTTTTATGATTTTTTTCCCTTGCTCTATTTAGTTGTCTTTTGAAACATATAAATGAAATTTCTTAATGAGATCTTTTCATATAAGCAGTAAGCACTTGAATTACACAAAGACTAATGTAACTGGTAACCATAATAATTCAGAGTCTCACATGAGTCTCACAAGATTCTAATTTCAGATTATTCTTTCAGAACTGACCATTTTTCAAAGAA